CTAGCACATGTCGGCACATGTCGATATGTTATTCGTGACCCTGCTAGTGGGGGAGGTTATAAACACTAGCACCTGTCGACATGTTATTGATAGAACTGGTTCGTCAGTGACCTTGCTTGTGGGGGTTATACACCAGCAAACAGTGACCCTGCTTGTGGGGATTATACACCAGCAAACAGTGACCCTGCTTGTGGGGATTATACACCAGCAAACAGTGACCCTGCTTGTGGGGGTTATACACCAGCAAACAGTGACCCTGCTTGCGGGGATTATACACCAGCAAATAGTGACCCTGCTTGTGGGGATTATACACCAGCAAACAGTGCGCCTGTCAGTGGGTGTTAGATGCTGGCCATGACCTATAGAGGAGACGTCTATTTCGTTCCCGTACTGTATCCGTTTTGCGTGATTGCACATGTTGGCATGCTATAATTTTAATAATGGGCACTCCATATTTTACTTACTAAGTTTATCTCATAGTTTTTCCTTGTCCACCATTTCAAGAAGTGAATCCGAGGACGGGGAAACCACGGGAAGTGACGAGTTAGAAGGCTAGCCATATTGTAATTGAACATAGATTTTATAATTTGATCTTCAGATTTTGATGGTATCAGATTGTGGTGTGATAAGTTCCGAGCCTTGTGCATTTGTGGGACCCGTCTCACGAGTGCATAACGTCTGTCGCGTCTCGAAATTGGGTTTTGGGGCGTGACAGAGAAAGTGGTATCAGAGCTTAGGTTTGATTAAGATTTCGTGATGTGAGAGCCTAGGTTTATGTAATGCCTAGGATTTGTTTTGGACTTGGCTAGCCAATGGATTTTAGAACCATGGTGAGATTAGTGATGGGTTATACAAGGGATGATTTTAATAGTAAATCTTAGTGATTTGAATTAGTTCTGGAAAATTTTGTTTGGATAATGAATTGGGTTGACAGTGATAAATCTGGAATTTGTGTTTGGAGTTGTTGATGATTTCAGTGTGTGTGAATCTGCTTGTAAGCTCCAGTTCCAGACTTAAAATGAGTTATTTTGCATTCGTAACGGTAATTAATTTGGTTCGTTTCTCTTGTTTCAATCTTATGATTTTGGTTCAATATATCTGTTTGATATTTGATGATTTTTGAGTGGATAACTTGGTTTGCCCGTGTAATGAACTTAGATGTGAAGCGACAATGATCAATCAAGAATTTTCATGTTTTGATTGAAATCCTTATGCGATTTGAGTCTATATATTATACGTGCCTATGTCATGCCAATGTCTAGGCTATGGTGGATGCCACTTAATTTCTGTACATATTTAAATGCTCTTGCAGGAAAGAAGATAGTATTTCACACATGGGTGAAATTTTTCCTGCTAAGTAGCCTACCAAATATCTTTGTCTAAACTTGTTTCTATTCTTGAGAAATTATCTGGAAATCTGTTATTACTCAAGTTTTGGGTTCTGCACTTGTTTTGTTTCTTAAGTATCGATGTCCGAATATAAATTATGCCTGGTGGGGTTCTTGAAGTTAGCCTGACATATGCTAACGTAGAAAATTGCTTGATATTTGGTAGTGGAATCCATTCTGCTCTGTCTTCGAAAATATTTTTGCTTTGACACTTGCTTGTGCTCAAGTTTTGAATTTTATGCTAGTTGTTATCTCGGTATACCAATGTACCTGTTAACTTCTTGTTTAAGTTTCAGGTGGACACTTCCTTAGGAGGGGTGATGATTTCTAGGGATATATCTAGGAATATCCCTATTTTGGTTATGGATAGATAGTCTAATACTGATATTATGTCTTAATATCTTTGATTGATGTGATTGTAAAAATATCTTGCCGTCATGGACTATGTTTAAGTGGGTTATCATCACAGTATTCAGTACTCTAGAGTTTAGTTCTAGAGGAATGGTTCTTTCCTCTATCCGCTTAGATTCTTGTTTTGCTACCCAATAACACGTTAGTGATTAACCCTGGGTGGTGGCAGAATGTATGAGGCCTTTTACATTAGGTCTAATTGTTTAATTATTCATTTGGGCATTCATACATGAATGCAAACATAAATGTACATGAGCATATACACGCATACATGCATGCACACATGGGCATTCATGCATGCACACATGGGCATTCATGCATGCACACATGGGCATTCATACATGCATGCATAAAGGCATTCATTCATACATGCATATGCATGCATTCATCCGTTCATGATTTTGTATATCCGAGTGTTGTTTATCCATCTCGAATAGGGTTCCATCGTTTAGTTGGATTCACCATTTGACTCCTTGCCATGTTGTGTTTGATGAGTGTTGGGTCTTGATTTGGGTCAAGGGCACCACATAATCATGCCGATAACCCTCAAGTGTAGTTACTTGTGTTGAGGCGTGAAGTTATCTCCCGCTTCCCAAATGGCCATTGGGGAGGGTGGAGATTGAGAATTGTTATTGTTGTGTTTGATATCAGAGTGATGCAGCGGAAGCGTAGTAGATCATGTTCTGATCATAGAAAGACGGTGAGGCGTTTGTTTTGTTTTAGATTGTGTGAAGCTATTCACCAATCGAAGTGATCCTAGATTTGAGTTTTGGGGACAAAACTCCTTTTTAGGAGGGGTGGATGTAATACCCCAAAATTTTGTGATATTTTAGCATTAAGTTAAGGAC